GGAGTGCAGGCTTTGTTCGCTCTTGCACGCTGCCAACTTCGCCTCGACAGCTTCGGGCCCTCGAATGTCTGCTTCAAAAGCCCTGGGTGTTCAGGGGCTTCCTTTCTTCATCTCTCTCTCTCTTTTCTCTCAATCTTTTACCCCATTTTTCTTTGTTTTCTTTTCCTCGCTTTCTCTTTTCTCTCTTGTACCCCCTTTTTCTTTCTCTTCTTTTCCTCGCTCCCCTTTTTCTTTAATTTCTTTTCCTCGCTCTCTGTTTTCTCTCTCTTACCCCCTTTCTTTATTTTTTCTTTTCCTCGCTCTCTCTTTTCTCTCTTTTATCCCCTTTTTCTTTTTCGTTTCCTTTTTTCTCTCTTTGCTTATGTGGCTTCGTTGTTACCTACCCCTTCGCACGCGTCCCTTTTGCAGCCGTGCTCTCCTCACTATTTTCTGTAGCATGAAACGAGGGTCGAAAATAGAAGCGAATTTAGTTGGAGGAGCTTCGGTTATTCGAAGAGGAAGAGAGAGAGAGAGAGAGAGAGAGAGAGAGAGAGAGAGAGAAGAGAGAGAGAGAGAGAGAGAGAGAGAGAGAGAGAGAGAGAGAGAGACAGTGACATTTCCTCAGATTTTATCTTAAATTCTGGTGAATTTCCGCCGGCGCCGTCTCGCCTGATGGAAGCTTCGAGAAATTCGGGGTCGGTGAGCAAAGCCTTCGGGGGCTTCTAGAAGGTTCTGCTTGGGTTTTTGGTTTCGACTTTGGGGGTGTTGTGGCACGTGGTGGGTGTGCGTTTTGGGGTTTTTGGAGTCATTTAAGGGGCGAAGAGTCGGGATTTAAAGAGATATTTTCACTTTAGATCGTTAATTTTTATTTCATTTACACTTCTCACCTTCTTTCGTTTTTTTTCTCCTTTTCAGTTTCTTTCCTTCTCTCACTGATTTCAGCACCGGAGTCTTTCATCCTGAACTCAAAACTTCATCTTAAACTTCGTTTTTTTCGGGTTAAACTTGGGAATTGCGTCTCACCCAAACTCTGCAGGCGTTCAAGCGAAAACCAGAAAGCTGTTTGGGTTTTTAATTACATTTATTTTGGGTTTTTTTGTTCTCAATGGTGTTCTTCATTTTCAAACGCTAGAACCATCGGGTATTTTTTCACGTGTTCTTCAGCGTCGATCTCCGAAATTCAGTTTGAATTCAGCCGTTAAAAGAAATAGATTTTTCACTCTATAAGCATTTAAAGGGAAGATGTATTGTTCCTCGACTTGGAAATCTCACAAAGTCTGTTTTGGACTCTCTCTCTCTCTCTCCTCTCTCTCTCTCTCTCCTCTCTCTCTCTCTCTCTCTCTCTCTCTCTCTCTCTCTCTCTCTCTCTCTCTCTCTCCCGGGATCTTCCTCCTCCTTCCACGACCTTCCAGAACACCACGAGAGCCCTTGAGACCCCTGTTCAGATTGTCGCCCGAACAATGCGTTATTCTGGAAGCCTCGAACAGCTGGGGGTTTCCACTCAATGGCCACTGTAGCTTTAACCTCGATACTCCGGCGTCGTGAAACTTCATAACCGATTTTCAGTATGAAGGCACAACCACATGGCGCCAAAAGCCTGGTGGTGGTTGGCCTGTTCCATCCGCCATTTATTTTTTTTATTTTTTTTTTTTCGTTATTATTATATTTTCTAGTTCGTAATTTTGGCTTCTTTTTTTTTTTGTCTTTTTGTTTACTATTGTTTATCGTTGTGATAAAACTAATTTTTTGTGGATATTATATTTTGTAGTTTGTTATATATATTTTTTTTTCTTTATTTTTAGCGTTGTAGTAGAACTTAGAAACTTTCTCTCGATATCATTAAGGTAGAACGACGCCGCGGCGCTTCTCCCAAACTCCGGCCTTATTTTATGGCCATTTTGTAGGTCTAAACTTTTATATTAAATATAAATATTGACTTTGCTTTTTTCTTTTTTCTCCACCTGCTTCCCCTTACTCTTTTTTATTTTATTTTTTTCCATATAGAAGTTTCTAGAACAAGGACCCGGATGCATATACACGTATACTTGCCAATCTGCTTACTTTCCAGTCTAACTTACGAATCCACTTACAAAACAACTTACAAATCTGTTTGCTTACCAATCCACTGACGAATCTTCTTTCATACAAATCTATATACCAATTTACTTACAATCTTCTTATCAATTTCTTACTTATCTTCATATCAATTCTCTTACTTAAACATCTTCATATCAATTCTCTTACTTATAATTCTACTTACCAGTTTACATACAAATCTACCAACCAGTTTACTTATAAATCTACTTACCAATCATCTTGCCAGTTTCTTTACTTACCAACCTACTTCCGTATGTATTAACCTCTCACATACGGTCTGTTTGTTAGGTGCACCTCATTCATTTTTCATAAGGTTGGCCCCGTGATCTGTTTGACGAGGTAATAACATCCCTGAGGCAATATTTATACAAGTGGGAAAGGTGGGGGGGTGGGTGGGGGTGGGGTGGTTTTTTTTTATTAGTTTTTTTTTTTTTTTTTTTTTTTTTTTTTTTTTTTTTTATTTTTTTTAAGGGGGGGGTGGTGAATATTATTGGTATTGGTGTTCATGATGTTAAGAACTATTAGTAGGAAGGAAAAAAAAAATAGGAAAAATAGGCAGCAATTGGTAGTGAAGAAAAGTGGAAATGGAAAAAAATGAACTGAAATTTGGAAGTCTCTCGCGTTCCCTTGTCTCGAGTCCGCGCCGAGTTAACGAAAACAGAAACGAGGTCGTTAAGCGAGTCAAAGTTATATAAAAAAGAGAGAATGATCAAAAAAAAAAAAATCTTGTCCACGTTCATGAAAAAATGATGAATAATAATAAGAGAGAGATTGTGTGTCCACGTTTCGAAGCCTTTCAAATATCTTCGTTCAGAAGTTCATCTGTGAATGTATATATTTCTAAAGGGTTCGAGTTCCCGGGGCTTTATATAAATCCGAAAAAGAGATAAAAATAAAGAAAAAATAAAGAAGGAAGAAAAGTGACTGAAACTACAGATATTAAAGAAAGTTTGTGAGGCCATTAGACCGTTATGTATGTAGGATAAAGGTATATATATATATCCAGCCTGGGGAAGCCAAGGATTTATCCATCGACCCTTCCTGTGCGGGTGGTTGGGGGGGGGGGTCTTGCAGCTGGTTGGCTGGGGATCCTGCAGCTGGCCGAGGGCGAGGAGGGCCTTCGGTTGGTCGCCGAGGGACGCCGAAGGGATGCGGAGGGGGGGGGGGGGGGATTTCATTGCGCGTGTGTGTGTGTGAGTGAGTGCAGGTGGATGTAGGTGTGCGGGGATGGATTCTTGTGTGAGCTCACACACTACACCACCCCACCCACAACACACCCACCCACACCGCACCACACCGCACCGCACCACACCGCACCACACCGCACCACACACACCACACCACACACCATCCCACACAACCCACGCCTTCCCCCCCCTCCCCACCGCACACACCAACCCAGCGACCAACTTCCGCCGGCTCGTCGTCAGCAGAACCAGTAAAGCAGCAGCAGCACGAGTATTAAAGCGAGAGACGAGAGACGAGTGGGGGGAGCGAGGGACGAGTAGCGAGGACGAGTGGGGGAGCGAGGGACGAGTGGGGAGCGAGTGCGAGCAACACTTCCCCGAGTTTCATTTCCTTTTAACTCTGGGGCGAAATAGCAAGGCAAGACGCTTCTAGAATAACCCGTGCGTAACGCTCGAATATTACCCTTACGGACGTGGGAGCTAAGGGTCGTTTTCCGGTGCGCCGCTCGTGCCTTTAATGGGATACCGCATTGATGTAATAATGATGATAATTTTTTTTTTTTTTTTTTTTTTTTTTTTTTTTTTTCAGGGGGAAGGGAAGGGAAATGATACGTGGACGAGAATTGGTAGTTGCTGGAGGAGCTTACTGAATGGCGGCGTCGTTCTCGTGTTTCCGGGGAAGATGAGGAAATGGGTGGGTTCCGGATTATGGCTTGCGTGTGTTCGTGTGGTGTGTGTCCGTGTCCGTATGTATGTGCGTGTCCGTGTGTGTTTATGTGCGTGTGTCCGTGTCCGTGTGTGAGTGTGTCCGTGCTTTTTTCTTTTTGTTCTATACTTTTTGAGGACGTGGAAATGATTTATTTTGGAAATGTTACATTCAGTTTTGGTCTGTGATATTATCATTACTTTTATTGCTTCCGTTAATTAACATGGTTGTTGTTCTTCCTTTCTTTCTTTCTTACAAAATCTTATCGCATGCCTGTAGTATATGCTTGCATTATTAACCACACCGAGCATAGCGAGGACATCTGTTATCTCCTTAATCTTTGCTGTGAATAAGAAATGATTGTGTCCGGAGAGACGAGAGTGCAGTCACGCATTGTCTCTCTCAACCGGCATTTTATCTCGTCTTTTAGTGATTATTGTAAAGTTTCTTCAACATGTAATTCCTAAGTTACGTTTAAGTTGCATGAGCATTTATCTTGTAAGTTCCTAGTTCTGGGTCCGCATCCCTGTGGCATCCCGCCGCCCCCTGACCCTACTGACCCTGGCCTTTCTCCCGCAGAGTCCCCGGAGAGCGCGGCGCCGAGTCCCCCGGAGGTCAAGAGGGAGCGGGAGGCCGACGCCGGCGGGACCCCCAAGGAGAAGGAGGCGAAGGAGGCGGAGGAGGCGTCTCCTGCTCGCCCTCTCCCTTCGTCGTCGCTTCCTTCCGCCGTTCCTTCCTCTCCCCTCCTTCTTCCTACTTCGTTTTCTCCGCTCGCTCCTCCTGCCGCGGCTGCCGTTCCTGCCCCTCCTGCGGCGGCTGCTGTTCCTGCCCCTCCTGCCGCGGCTGCCGTTCCCGCCCCTCCTGCGGCGGCGGACAGGCCGGCCGAGGCGGGGAGGGCGAGCCCGAGGAAGGCCTCGCCCGCCGCGTCGCCCTCGAGGCCGCCCGCCGCCCTCCGGACCGCCAGCGGGCTGTGGGCGGGGCCGGAGAAGCGCCCCGCAGAGACCGGGTCGCCCAAGCCCCGCAAGCTGACCATGCCCTCGATCCTAAGCGCTCGGGGAAGCTGTGGAAGGCCGTCTCGCAGACGAGCGGCCCCGCGGCGGCGGCGGCGCAGCCCCAGGAGCCGGCCGACGGGGCCCGGGCCAGGGCGCCCAGCACCAAGTGTTCACGGCCCACATGGGCGGCCCGCCAGACCCGGGCGCGGCGCCGCCGCGGCCTCGGCCCCCCTCGCCGTCAGCCTGGAGCGCCCGCCGCCGCGGCGAGGACCAGCGTCATCTCGGGCGGCGGGCGGCCTCCCCGCTGTCGCAGCTCCTGAGGGTGTCCGCCCACAAGACGTGGGTGCCGCCGCGGTCGCAGTCCAAGGGCGCCGCGGACGAGGCCCTGGCGGCGGTCAGCCCCGGCACCATCCTGCACCAGAGCCAGCTCCACAGGCCGCTCCTCCAGCCGGCGGCCCCGCCCCTCGCCCCCGCCAGTACAAACGCAGCGGCGCCCGCGCCGGCGCCGCCGCCCGCGCCCCGCCCCGCGCCCCCGGCGAGGCGCCCGACGAGGCGAAGGCCAAGCACACGATGGTGCTGATCCCCGCCTCCTTCGGGCTGCCGTCGTCCTCGCGCGCCGCCGGGGCGTCGCCGCCGCCGGCCGCCGACGAGGGCCCGAGGGGCGCGGAGCCGCTCAAGTACTACCTGGTGTTCGCGCCCACGTCGTCGGGGCAGGGCGTGGCCTCCGGCGCGGCCTCGGGGCGGGGCGCGCCGCAGCTGCCGGCGGAGGCGGCGGCGACGAGCATCATGTCCCCGCAGCCCGTGTCCTCGTCCTCGTACCTGGCCTCGCTGCTGAAGGCGGGCGTGCCCCTCGTGCCCGTGTCCTCCTCGGCGTCCCTGACGCAGGTCTCGCCCGCCAGGAGCTACCCGCTCGTCTCGTCCGTGCTCGCCCCGAAGCCGCCCGCGCGAGGCCCCGCCCTCCTGCCCGCCCCCGCCCACGGCCCCCGCCCTCGCGCCCGCCGCCCTCAGCACCGTCGTCGGGGGAGCGGGCGCCGCCGTCGACGGCTTCCTGGCCTCCGCTCGGCCTCGGGCATCCTGGGGTACGTGGTCCCTGCTTTTGTCTGGGAATGCATGTAGGATGCTCCTTGGTCCTCTGCAAGTAGCGTAGTCCTGAAGTAACAGGTAGTCCTTGCAAGTAGCCGTAAAGGGAGTCCTTGCAAGTAGTCCTCACAGGTAGTCCTTGCAAGTAGCCGTAAAGGGAGTCCTTGCAAGTAGTCCTCACAGTAGTCCTTGCAAGTAGCCCTAAAGGGAGTCCTTGCAAGTAGTCCTCACAGTTAGTCCTTGCAAGTAGCCGTAAAGGGAGTCCTTGCAAGTAGCCGTAAAGGGAGTCCTTGCAGTCTTGCAAGTAGCCGTAAAGGGAGTCCTTGCAAGTAGCCGTAAAGGGAGTCCTTGCAAGTAGCCGTAAAGGGAGTCCTTGCAAGTAGTAAGGGAGTCCTTAGTAGGGAGTCCTTGCAAGTAGCCTAGTAGTCCTTGCAAGTAGCCCTCACAGGTAGTCCTTGCAAGTAGTCCTCACAGGTAGTCCTTGCAAGAAAGTCCTCACAGGTAGTCCTTGCAAGTAGTCCTCAGGTAGTCCTTGCAAGTAGTCCTCACAGTAGTCCTTGCAAGTAGTCCTCACAGGTAGTCCTTGCAAGTAGTCGTTATAGGTAGTCCTTGTGGGCAGCCCATGCAAACAGTTCTTGTAGTTTGGGATGTAGAACTTACATGTAGTACTTCAAGGTAATCCTTATAAGTAAACTTGCAAGTAGTCCTTATAAGTAGTCCTCCGTGTAGGATTTTCCTTCACAGAAATTGCTTATCAGGAAGGAATTGAAATGCAACAAATCCCCAATCATCGCATTGTATTGCTTCCAAGTTATTCAAGTTATTCTGGGCCACGCACGCACGCACCATTCGGTTGTTTGTTTGTTTGTGTGTTTTTGATTGTTTTGTGTTGATTGTTTGTGTGTGTTTGATTGTTTGTGTGTGTTGATTGTTTGTTTGTGTGTGTGTTGATTGTTTGTTTTTGTGTGTGTTGATTGTTTGTGTGGGTTTGATTGTTTGTTTTTGTTATTTCTGTTTGATTGTTTGTGTGTGTTGATTGTTTGATTGCCTGTGTGTGCCTGTGTGTGCGTGTTTGATTGTTTGTTTATGTGTGCGTGTTTTATTATTTGATTGTTTGTGTGTGCGTGTTTGATTGTTTGTTTATGTGTGCGTGTTTTATTATTTGATTGTTTGTGTGTGCGTGTTTGATTGTTTGTTTGTGCGTGTTTGAGTGTGTTTGTTGAATTACTCTGTGGAAATTCTAAAATATATACATATGCAATATTCAAATGAACAACGCAAGTGCTACATTAGCCTTATTCAGATGCTCAGAGATAAAATGCATAATGTATTATGCTAATACAGCCAAAAGCTTCCTTAACTTTAGTATTCATTGAAGTACAGATTTTTTTTATATGTGTATGTTAAGAAGTAGTTATTTCTTATAATTCCTTATGCTTTTCTTACAAAAGGAAGGAAA